CTAAGACCAGAACTGGTAACTTAGATTTAGAAGAACATCTGGACGGAGCAAACACCAAGCAAACCTTAGTGGTCCGTAAGTTCCTTTGCACAGACTTGACCAAATTAAAATGGTTCTTAGAAATATAAATTATCAAATGCCTTGAGAAATGCTTTGAGTGAAGTTATTGCATAGCTTTCCCCCTTGTACTCTGTTCTAGCAATATTTGACCAAACTGGGACCTCAGTCAGTTTTTCACTTCATATTGCCTTTCTCGTGACCTTACTTTGCTCCTGATCTAACACTTACTGGGACTTCATTATAACCACTCGGCTTCCCACCTCCGTCTCTATCCTACTTCCTCAGCTAACAAACAACAACTCTAGTCAAATCTAAATCTCTTTATTTCTCTGAAACTGCAACTTCACAGTCAATCACTACTGAAAAAAAAAATAATATGCTGACTACTACTCGTGTCTCTTTAAATTTAAAATCACCTCAACAGCACCCAAAGACCTGTGCAATATGCCAACTATATCATGCCAACTATATATCAACTATATATTTCATTACCTCCTGCCCTGCAAGATAATTATTTTACATCTCCTGGCCTCAATCCACTTACGCTCCCACAACTTCCTCGCTTTCAATGGTTGTCATTCCTCATTTCACTGAAAAAATCCAAGCGATGCAAACAGGGTTTCCTCTGGTTCCAACCCCCGGCATCTGTCACCAAACCATCTGTCTTCCCTTTCTGTTAGGACAGATGAACTCTGCATCTTCCAAAGACCAAACCCTCCATCTGTTACAAGATCACATCAACCTTTTCAGGATTTGGCACCTATATTGATCCCCTTTTTATCTTAGATGATCTCTTTTCACCTTCACTGGATTATTCACATCAGCATAAAATATTGCTGTCATAGTTTCAATTTTTTAAAATTTCCTCCCTTGATCCCACATCACTCTCTACAGTATTCAATTCAACTTTCAGCTGACGGTCTCCTTGATAATCTCCCTGTCTTCTTTATTTCTTCTCTGTTATTCTCTCTTGTGGAGCCCTGGTGGCACAGTGGTGAAGAGCTCAGGCTGCTAACAAAAAGGTCGGCAGTCAAATCCACCAGTTGATCATTGGAAACCCTACGGGGCAGTTCTACTCTGTCCTATAGGATCGCTGAGTCAGAATCCACTCCACTGCAATGGGTTTATTCTCTCTTGTACTGACTTCAATCATAGCTTTATCTCCAATACTTGACAAAAGCTAGTCTTGTCAAGGTCATTGATTACATTTTCAAGGATTCCATTCCAATGCTCTAATTACACTCCTTCTCTTGTTTGTCCTCTCAGCAGCGATAACTCCATTGCTCTTTTCCTGAAATCCACATTCTTTCATGAAAACCTTTAAAACAGTTTAAATACTGGAGAGGGTATTAGAAAAGCCTTGCTTTACACTCCTTAAGATATTGGTTCAGGGATCTATGTTCCTGAAAAGGGGGAAGGCATTAGAGCTGTGCACAGGCAAGCATTTCTAATCTTGAACTTCCCTTCCTTAATGCATACTGTGAAGTCTGCTGCGTGTGTGTGTGTGTGTGTGTGTGTGTGTGTGTGTGGTGGGGGAGACCTGTTTCTGAGGCTTTATTATTTTTGTTGTTTCCATACTCCATCTTCTGAAAAACCTGAGATCACCGAGCTTAAAGAGTCCATTCACAGAGGGGACAATAATGGGTAGAAGCTGCATTTTCCTATTCTGCTCAGGGCACATTCTGCAACATGAAAGCCTGAAGTTTGGCTCAAAGTTTTCTTCCTGGGTATCCCAGCTAGAATTATGTGAGAAACTTGCATTAGACATGAGTGAGTAAACTTCTGAAGAGCAGCTATTGAGAATGATTCTCACACTTTTCATGCATCACAGTTACCAGGAAGCTTGTCAAAATGCAGATTTCAAATCCAACTTCCAAAAAGTGTAAGTGACTACAGTGTTTTGCATCGTTTATTTTTTCATGTGATTCTGACACAGGAAGAACACAAACGATACACTACCTTAAAAATGACCCAGAGTACTGTGAGTACAGTTGGTACTTAGACTGCAAGTGCCAGTAATCAGGAGTAGGAGTGAGGGTAAGAGATAGAAGAAAGAACTAATTGATCCTACTTGAGTCCCTAAGATTATATGAAAGAAAAATGACAAAAATAATAATTCTTAGGGTAAAGTTGAGAAAAATATATCAGGTAAAATTTAGCAAGCATAAAAAAAAATTGGTAACAGACAGTGCTACCTGTACTGTCTGTTAAGTTTCCAGTGACAATGTGGTATATCGTAGTATGTTGCCAATTCATCCACCAATTCTACCTCCTGTTAATGTGTATTGTTGAGAAGCTCTTTTAAAAACTTCAAGCTAGCCAAACACTAAACTTGAGAATTCCTCTCCCTAAAAAAAATAAATAAATAAAAACAAAAATCTACCAACAACAAAAGCAACTGCAGGGCATTAGTCTTAGCCTTGTCACATACGCCAGTAGTCAGTAAAGAATCCCTGCTAAAGAGGGGGTGAGGACCGGTGCTGGAACAATCCTTTCCCCATGGATGCAGCAGCTGGATAGAAAGCACCACAGACACAGACTTGTCCTGTCCTCCCAAGCTGTCGTATCAGTAGGTACAATTGCTCTATCTGAAAGTCCAACTTCAAACATCTGAGTCCACTGGAAACAGCATGCATCAACTCCATATCTTATCTGCCTTGTTCACTGATTTTCTCAGAAGTTATGTTCAAAGCCTTGACCCATGTCTAGAAGACAACTGAGTTTGCTCCAGTACCCAAGGTCTCGATCTGCTTCTGTGGAGTGTCAACACACAGAATTCCCCTATCTTTTCTAAATTTTCTCAGTTGGTTTTCAGGATACACAATCTCCATCACAGGCTATTGATTCTGAGTCTTCTTTTCTCCTCCTCCTCGTGTTAGTCTCAGCCTCAGGGCCCAGGTCTGTGACTTTAGACCCATTTACATTCATTTCCAAGGCTATCTTGTAACGATCAGATTCATGGCATTAAAAGCCATCTATGGACATTGATAGCACCTAAATACACAACTTTGAGCTGTCACTCTCCTCTTTTCTCCAGACTTATATACTCAATTGCATACCTGACTTCTTTTACATCTGGATAATTATACTGAAGGCAACACATTATATATATATATCCATATCCACATACACATATATAGATCCATATCCATATATACATATATAGATCCATATCCATATAT